ATTAATATCGCCCAAATTTAATTCACATTTAAAATCAGTCAAAAATTTTGGAACACCCTTTATATAGATATACACACGTTTTCATTGTTAAACATTATATTTATATTCGAGAACTCTTGTTAGAAATATATGCACCCAACGGCAGGATTCGAAACGTGCGTACCTTAGGGAAAACATACACTAGATCTGATGTGCCTTGACCGCTCGGCTACGTAGGATCTCCTGATTAAATTAAGCTGAATAGTCGTTTTGAACACAGATCTTTCCTGATTCTCGAAAAAAACACTTATCTGTATTCTTTCGTATTCTAATATAAACAAAAATGAGTATCCATTAAAATAACTTTTAAACAAATAAATTTAAAATATGTCGGATTTTATAATTATATATATATATATATATATATATATATATATATATATATATATATATATATATATAAGGATAAAAAATATATATAGGATAAAATCTTATATATAGGCGACAGTTTGTTTCATGTTAGACGCAATCGATTGCGTCTAGCATGAAACAGACTGCCGCCTCTCAGTGTTGACTTCAATGTTCACTTTTATATTTACACACGCTCTATCTCTGATATTGAGCACTTTTATCCCATAAATATAGCACATCTTAAGACTATATTTCTTCATCATATATATATATATATATATATATATATATATATATATATATATAATATTTCCAAGAGGATAGAATCCAGGTAGAACTCAATGTCCAGGACAGAACAAGAATATGATAAAAAAATGGCTCAAACACTAATATTCCATGGTTATAATTTATTACATTGGAATCGTAATTACGATCAAAATAATTTTCGGGCTTAGCCCATTTCATAATATATATATATGTGTGTGTGTGTGTGTGAAAGAAAGAAAGAAAGAAAGAAAGAAAGAAAGAAAGCTATGTGTATGCAAGGGTTGTAAGATAATTTTTATTTTTAATCTATACGATGTTCGTTGGTGGTAAATGTTATTTAAAGCCAAAGGTGCGTTTAACAAGGAAGGGGATTATGTTGACAATTAAGTATTTGCTTTGTAAAATAGACGTTTTTTGTTTTCATTGCTAATCTGTGATATAAATATATACAATCTTTATTAACCCGATGTGGTTCTGTCTATAAACGAAATGCTTCAGTTACATTTTTTCTATTTCGTCACTCGGAACAGGAGTGGACGTTTATCACTTGTTCCCTGTTTAGGATTCATTTTCCAGTTCCTTCTGAAGTCTTTTCATCCTTCTTCACACCCAGTAGCCCCTTGCGTCTTCGTGGCATTATCGCCTTTCTTGGGGTGATTTGATTAATACACACACACACACACACACACACACACATATATATATATATATATATATATATATATATATATATATATGTGTGGGGGGGAGGGGTAATTGAATTTTTATTTTTAATCTTTACGATGTTCGATTGTGGTAATTATTATTCACCGTTGAACGTGCATTTAACAAGGAAGGATATTATTTTGACAAATAAATATTTCTTTTGTAAAAGAAATGTTTATTTTCCATTAATAGTCTGCGATATAAATACACACATACAAACACACACACACACACACACTCATATATATATATATATATATATGTGCGTGTGTTTGAAGCACTCATACTTCGGTGTTCATTCATTCATATATATATATATATATATATATATATATATATATATGCATATGACAAAGAAATATGAGTGCCTCTAACACATATCTGATGTAACATTGTATTTATTCTGACGCTTTTATTATTCCTAATGTTGTCTCAAAATTAGTCCAACGCCATTTTCACTTGGCGCTAGCATCTGTCAAACCTAAAGAATTATTTTTATGACGACATCGACGGTATTTTATACCAGGAATCATAAAATGCTGCAAGCGCTCTATTTTCAGTTTAGAAACAGTTGTAATTTATGTCCTTTGTAAATGAAAGTGCAAGAATCCTATCCAAGTGCAAGTTCTACCTTAATCTTTTGTGAATTAGTCATTGTCATCACTTGCATATTTTAACAACCCCCGAAGCAAAATTTGTATGATGGATATTTTTTTTCTTTTTGTAAAGATTTGATCATTGTCTTTGCTAGCACGGCCTATGATAGCACTAACATAACTGTAGAAAAATGTAAGATATATTATTTGGCGTTACCATGACTCATTATAGCGTGAGGTCAACCTTAATATATCGTGAGCTCTACCTCAATATAGCGTGAGGTCTACCTCCCGTTTCGTCTATAGTGTGAGGTCTACCTTAGTATAGCATGAGGTTTGCCTCCTGTTTCGTCTATAGCGTAAGTTCTACCTCCCGTTTCGTCTATAGCGTGAGGTCTACCTCAATATAGCGTGAGGTCTACCTCAATATAGCGTGAGGTCTGCCTCCTCTTTCGTCTATAGAGTGAGGTCTACCTTTATATAGCGCATGGTCTACCTTCCCGTTTCGTTTATAACTGTTATAGCGTGAGGTCTACCGCAGC